TGTGAGGATACAGACAAAAGCGCGTATGATCAAATAGATACGAAACAGTAAAAACACTACTTCAGTAAATAGGTGGGCCGATTGATTAACTACGTGGAACGATTAATTAACCCCCCTTCGGGCATTCAACTTTGACGACGTTCCTGGCGGCAATTTCTACATTTAAAAAAAAAAAACGAACTCGTCAGGGTTTAAATGCCCAAAAAAGGGTAAATAAATACAGGCTGCTATCCCTATTCTAAATAGCGGGTGCTCTCCTACAGAACCTGCTATCCCTATTCGTAAATCGTCGAAATTGAGGGCAGGAACGTCCAAGTTAAATGCCCCAAGGGAGTAAATTGTAAAAATTGGTGGACCGACTAATTAGCAAGTAACTGGAACGATTGTTTTTAAGTAGGTTGACTGGATTGCCACGTGGGTGCTCTTCTCTGCACAACAAGAGGAGCGGACGATGCCACGTGGGTGGGTGGGTTCATCATAACCGCACGGAACCACGTGGGTGGGTTCCTCGCACCCGCACAGAACCACGTGGGTGGGTTCATCACAACCGCACAGAAGATAGAAAACTAGACGATAACAGTGTTGATTCATTCACGATTGCTAACGCGTGCCGAGTCGTTTCACAAGCTCTCTATCTTCTGGACAGAGCTGATTAACGATTTCCAATCACGCACAGAGAAGATACACAAGAGATGATTCACTCATTCTAATCACGCACAGAGAGATGTTAATGATTAGATAGATATATGGCAAGACAGTAAGGCCTGATGATATACGGAAGACGGACAGACAGACAGAGAGATACGAAGAGAGGAAGAGAGAGAGAGAGAGAGAGAGATGAAGAGAGGAAGTGATGATTAATTAGTAAACAAGTGGGACGATTAATTAAACAGAGGGATGAGTAACTAAATAGATACTGGAACGATTAGTTCATAATAGGTGGACCAATTAATTGAATAGAAAAGCAGATACAGAGGGTTTCAAACGAAAAGGAGATACAGAGAGGAGGTACGCCACACAAGCATTCACGATTTCTAATGAGTAGAAATCGAGGCACAGAGAGATGTGGGAAAGATTACTTAAGTAGGTATATGGCGACAGAGAGCGGGAAGATCAATTAAATAGGAATGCAGCAGAAAGGGATAGCGGGGGGGGAGGAATAGAACCTCGAGACAACGGCTAACAAAAAGACGACCTAAGATATTATACTCACCCCCAGGGTAATCACTCTCTCCCCCATCATTCTCGAGGGAACAAAATGTACCTAGAAAGACCAACATAAATGCAGAAGACAAGAAAACAGAGACAGACAGGAAGCGAGCTTGGAAGGAAGATGCACGGACTTTTGCTCAACTGATTCAAAACATGAGGTTGCGGTTACCCTCAGGCGCGTTAGCTTTTATAAATTCTCAATGGAAAGAGAGAGAGAGAGAGAGAGAGGCAGACCTGTGCATTAGGAGTCGTCTCCCACTCTAGGATCCGGATCACTTTAGCCTCTCTCTCTCTCTCTCTCTCTCTCTATCTATCTATCTATCTATCTATCTATCTATCTATCTATTTATCTCTATCTATCTATCTATCTATCTATCTCTATCTCTATCTATCTCTATCTCTCTCTCTCTATCTATCTATCAATATATACATTATACACCTATATATCGTCGTACACCTACATATCTATATATAATACGTACCTATACCTATATATACGTATCTATATATATATATCGTCAAAGAGAACTGCCAAGTGAACCGTAGGCAGAGAGGGAGGGAGAAGAGGACAACAAACGAGGGGCTGTGACAAACTGTTTCGTCGGAGTTTCACCGACTAATCAGGAGGCTCACGCAAAAACATGCAAACAAACTAAACGCACGTAATGCCACGTTCAACCTCTGCGCTTCCCCGTTAAGTGGATCTCTTTTTTTCACACGCCCTCCCCTCCCATCTCTCTTCTACACGTACAAGCTCGGGTAAACAAACAAAACACACCTACTTCCTCCCCTCCCTCTCTTTCCCCCCATCTTCCTCGTCCTATTCTCTCGCCAACAGGCACGGACGGCTATGCAGGCAAACTGTCTACACCGTCGCACAAGAACGCATCCAGCTTCGATTCTGCGTGGTTCTGCATTTCCATTACGCGCACAAAAAACTTCCAGCTTCTCTTGCAGAAGACTCATCAATATTTGGCTCCTGTTGCACAGACACCCGGCTTTTTCCTCACAATTGCACACCCACATCCACCCGCCTTCTATTCCACATTTCCGCTTACGTAAAGAAGCGCCTCATCCATTCTTTCCCGCCCAAACTTTAATCACATGTGCCGGCGCCCCGTCGTCCCCCCCCCCCCCCCCCCCTCTCTCTCCCCCCCCCCCCCCCCCTGCGCACCCTCCCCCCCTCTTCCCCCCCCATCATCATCATCATCATCATCATCGTCATCAATCTACCCGTGCAACCCCCCCCATTCTAACCCCACCTACTACGCTACCACCCAATCAATCATTGATAAGATTGCTCCGGCCTTGATTTACTTCATTAGTCATTTATTCCTTATTTATTTTTATTTTATTTGTTATTTTTTCTCTTTTTCAAAATTTTGCAAGGAAGATGAGCAATACCGAACGTCAGAAATCAAACAACATCATACACATGAGACCAGATAGTCGTGACCTCGAACCAATAGTAGAATTGCATCACGAGTTTCACCAAATAACGAAGAACCAATGTTGATATTCTATCTGGCGCTCGGCGCCCAGACTACAGATGGCAGATCCTATCTAGCCTACTCTATGATGCTGCTGATGGCGTCGACAACTCCCCGAGGTACGAGCAGATCTCGGACAATGTCGTACGCTTCAAGCACCAGGTATGTCTCTCGTATCACTCACAACCTCGTTCCCCAACTCACAGATGCCACATGCACCCAAGGACCACCATGCGCCCCATCCAGCATACAGCAGCACAGCTCGGCTATGGCTGCCTACTCCTTCCAGCTCGCCCGTGAGGCGTGAGCCTGGCCAGCGTTAGCGCAGCATGCAGCCAGTGCCCGAATGTCCAATGCGTAGGCAGGCCCTTCTCTATATCGAAGTGGCCTGCTGCTGCGTGCGGTAGTGCGGTAGTGGGCCCTGGCTTAAAAGCTTCCGGTAGGCCCCATAAGGTTGAGCGTCAGTTCGAAGTAAACAGGCCCAGGGCCTATGATGGTTACCAGCACCCAACTGCCCTCAGCCTTTGTTCGGTCCTCTTTGTGTATTCGGCCCAGTGCCTGCCTCAGTTACATGCGATGAAAGGCAGCCTGGGCCTGGGCGCTTCCAACCAACTGGCGCTGCGCAACTGCCTGAATTTCCCCAGTTGCGTGGTGACCCCAAAATGGCCTGTAGGCCTCGGTCGTGCCTGCCTTCACTTAGGGCGGCCAACTGTGTGAAAAATAGGCCCTGTAGGGCATATCGAGGCCTTGTGCCTCGTATTCCCTCCTCCATACTTCGATAGTCCTCTGAGAAGTTCAATCTTCGATAATCTGGCGTTTTCCCTTCTGCAGAGTTTTCTCGTAGTGAGCGACAACCTGTGGAGCGGTCTGCATCAGTTCCTCCCGTGTGAACCATCTATCCTCCTTTGGATCAGTGTGACGTCTGAACCGAACCCTGTACTGCAGCTTCGGTTTCAGAGGACGTCCCCTGCCTGCCGGTCTTGGAACTGGCATTTCCCTGTGGTCAACAATGTCGTCGATGTCGACCTCTCCATCCATGGTTGGGGGCAGCATTGAGCGACGAGAGGGAAACTGATCTATCTCTTCAAATGGTGCGAGCTTGGAGGCGTGGAAAACAGGGTAAGTGCGTAAGTAGCTAGGAATGCGAATAACATAAGAAGGGCCATCTTGATCATCCCCAATGACATCTAGAACCTCCCATGGTCCAAAGTACTGTGGCATGACCTCACGAGAGATCTTGTGCTCCTGTCCCAGTTCTGAGGACTTAACCCAGACTCTTTCTCCTACCTGGAATGTAGATGGGCGATGGTGTTTGTTCTCCGACTCTATCATCGCCGCCTGTGCTTTATGCATTTGCTCAACAGCCTGCTGCATCAGGCGCTCATACCGATAAGCAAACTCTAAGGTCCTTGGTGCAGCGGATGGCTGATTCTCAGGTAGTAGAAAGTCAAAAGGCAGTCTAGGCTTGAAAGTCAGTAGCAGGCTGTTCGGGCTCACTCCCGTAGCGCTGCGCACAACGTTGTTTGTATAGGATGGCAATGAGGGCAAGTTTCTCATCCCAGTCTACCTGATTTGGATTGATGTAATGCCTCAGCAGGTGTTGTACAACGCGGTTCAACTGCTCTGCCTGCCCATTCGCTTCCAGGTGATTGCCTGATGCCATTTGCAACTGCGTGCTATGTTCTGCACCTGCAACTTTCCACACTTCACTGGTGAATCACAAATCCCGGTCACTAACTATAGACTTAGGCCGTCCGAAATCTCTGACCCGGTTCTCCTTGAACAGCATGATCACATATTCAATTTTAGTTGTTGCAGGCATTGCGACTGTTCTGCACCTGCAACTTTCCACACTTCACTGGTGAATCGCACATCCCAGTCACTAACTATAGACTTAGGCAGTCCGAAATCTCTGACCCAGTTCTCCTTGAACAACGTGATCACATACTCAATTTTAGCTATTGCAGGCATTGCGACTAACCTAGCGTACTTACTAAACCTATCCACAATGACATAGACGTAGCGCATTCCACTCTTGTTGGATACCAGCGTATCCATGAAATCCATGGACAAGCTCTCACCAGGCCATTCCGGAATCAGAAGGGGCTTCAGAAGCCCAAGAGGAGCCTGTGTTCGTGGCTCGTCCCTTTGACAGACCTAACAAGTCTCAACGTACAGCTTAGCGTCTTTCATCATCGTGGGCCACCAGAACCGCTGCAACAAATTGGCTGCAGTCTTCTTGAAACCAAAATGGTCGGTGGCGTCATGACACTCTCCTAAGTCCTGACAATGAAGAACCTCCCAAGGAGATAATGTCTCCAATGGGTCAGTGCCTTGTAAATCACGTAGAGCTCCTTCTCATAGGTGGACTTAGCCAACTTCTGAGAGGGCATCTTTTTTGACATGTACTCGACTGGCCACAACTTTGGCCCCTCCAGCTGCGCTAGCACGACACCAATGCCATATTGACTGGCATCCGTGGTTACTATGAACGGCTTGTCAGGATCAGGAAGTTCCAAGACCTCATGATGCGTCAACGCATGCTTCAGATGTTTGAAAGCAGCCGCGCACTTGTCTGTCCACTCCCATGGGGTGTCAAGGCGGGTCAGGTTAGTCAAAGGGGCGGCCATTATGCTATAATTCTTAACAAAATTATGGTAGTAGACGGTCATCCCTAAGAAAGACCTCATTTCAGTCACAGACTGAGGACGTGGCCAATGACGAACGTTGGCCACCTTCACGTCATCGGGCTTCAATCCCTCCGCGAATACCTCATGACCCAAGTACAAGATACGGGTGCGGCCAAAATGACACTTCTCACCGTTGATCTTGAACTTGTGCTGTCGAAGGAGACTAAGGACTTTGTCCAGATGAGCTACGTGCTCTTCGATAGTCCTACTAAAGATAAGTATGTCATTGAGGTACACGATTACAAACTTGTCCAAGTAGTCATGAAAGATCCGATTCATCGCATGCTGAAAGGTGCCAGGAGCATTGCAAAGGCCGAAAGGCATCACCACAAACTCGTACAGACCGTACCTGGTCTGAAATGCGGTTTTGTGCTGATCCTCAGGCCGTATAGCAATCTGATGGTACCTGGACTTCAAATCTATCTCACTGAAGTACCGGCACCCTTGCACTCGATCTAACAAGTCATCGATGCGCGGAAGGGGCTCTCGGTTCTTGACAGTGATGGCATTGAGGCCCCTATAGTCAATGCACATCCTCAGAGTGCCCCCCTTCTTTGGTACAAATAGGACTGGAGAACCATAAGGAGAGACACTCGGCCGGATCCAACCCTTCTCTACGAGTTCCTTGAGTTGTCGGTGAAGCTCATCAAGCTCGCCTCGAGACATCCGATAGATCCTACCCTTTGGGATGCTAGACCCTGGGATAATCTTTATTGCGTGGACGACCTCCCTCTCAACAACCCCTGTTGGCTCTTCAAATAGATCAAGGTACTTGGCAACTACTCCCTCTATCTCCGGCGGCATTTTCACCGGCTCGCCTGCTGCAGAGACATACACTAGATGCATACCCTCCTCTGGATTCTGCTTGTAATAATTATAGAACGCGGCTGCACACATGCATCCGTAGGACTCAATCAGACTACTAGCTTTAAACTTACGTAATCTAGCGGTCCCCCAACCTGGCAAAGTGTGTTTGACCACTTTTCGGTCCCAGTCAAACTGGGGCAGTGCTACAGAGAGGTAGTACATACCTAACAAGATATCCATGGGGAGAACATCGCTCACTAGGAACGAAACATGATGTCTCAGTTCCCCTCCCGCGTACGGGAAACAACACTCAACATTTTGAAGGTAGTCATTAACTACCATGCGTTGTTTGTTGGCACAGGTGGACTCCACAGGTCGACTCAAGCGCTGCACTTGCCCCTATAAGCGCAACCTCTCAACACACGTGCGGCTAATGAAGTTCCTAGTCGAGCAACTGTCATAATAGGCCCCGGCCTTGCGGCCGCCGATGACTACCTCGCCGACGAACATCTCTCCCGTAGAGGCTTTGGCCAATACCGTCCAAGAAGCTAGTGGGTCTGACCTAGACCACTCTTCCTCTAGCTCCTCTAAGGACTCAAACACATTCATCGAACAGAGGCTCGATGGGTCTGAATGTGTTTGCGGGATGGCAATGGAGTCAGTAGCTTGGGCCATCTCTCAAGATTGTGAGGGTGTGTCCACCACGTCGACCCTAGCAGGAAAAGCTACCATTCCTACTGGCCCGACGCGGTTCCCGGAGCAGTGCCAGAACTGCTGGCCATATTCTACCAACGGGAGCGGAGGATCCCAACGCCTGCCCCATCGTAGGCGGGATCTTTTCGGTCACCTTCTTATTTCGACACTTGAATTGGTTATGGCCATATTGGCCACAACGGATACAAGCATCCCGCATGTACCGATCTTTCCACACGTCCTCAGTGAGACCCGCTTTCTCCCATGGAGGAGCATTGGGGTCAACTTGACTCCTAGACCGGGAACCTTTATAGCGTCTACCGGTTGCCTTACCTTTTTGAGCTACAACAACGACTACTCCACCTCCTGAAGCTTCTACGCTGCCAGCCTCTGAACCCACTCCCGACTGGAAGTCGTCGTCCAATTCGATGGTAGAACCATCGTTGTCGACGAACATGATCCGTCCCTTCGCTTTCCAGTTGGGAGGCAGTGACTTTTTCCTACCATCCGTCGTGGGTGTCTGTCCATGCCCTATCTTTGCTTCCAGGTCTAGGGCCTTCTTGCTAAACGACGAGAAGTTGTGCATGTTGATGTTGGCCTCACCTGCCAACTAGTTCCTGAGAGGCATGGGAAAGCATCTCAGGTAGGAGCTGAGTAAAACCTGGGGGTCATAGCGCACCCCAGGGACACAGATCAGACGCTCTACTGCATCAGTGGCCTCTCTTACTGACTTAAACTGCCTGGTATGCAGTGTCAGGATCTCGTCAGTAGCCTTTTGGGCCTCCTGAGGATCATGCCACCTGTCTTCCACCAACTTGAGGATGTCATCCAGTTTCTGGGTGACCGCCCAAGTGTGAAAGTCATGACCGTACCCTTATAACTGCACTAAACCACTCAACCATCTTGTTGCACTCCCCTCTAGACAGGAGGAAGCCACAAGCACTTCCTCGTGCGGCAAGGTAAGTTTGCACTTGACATAGACGGGCACTGCCCTCAACCATGTGTCGAGGTCTTCGCCCCTCTTATCCCCTATAAAGGGTTTAGGAGCGTCGATGGCCGCCTTTGGAACCCACTGACTTTGTCCCAGTACCTGCACCAGTCCGGGTTGTGTGGTGCAGGCTGCTGCACTAGCTGTTGGGGCTGTCTACCCTGTGGCTGTGCAGGCTGCGAGACCACAGGCTGCCCGCTTTTGGCAACTTGTGACGGAGGTTGGGAGAACACTGTCTGTACAGGAACCTGTACACTAGGACCTGTTGAGAACCCTCCTGTTAACGGCATACCCAGGGAAACTGTTTGGACCGAGGCTGGGGAGACATATGGGGATAACCCAGTTACCGGTGGAACATACGGAGGAGGTTGTACAACGGGCCAGGCACCAGGCCCGGATAGCGATGGTGCTGCCTGCGCTTCCCCGACCAGCAAGGCCAGACTCTGCTGGATGTCTTGAAGGAGAGCCGTGTGGTGGTCATGCATCTCTACAACACCTAGCAGGGTTGTCCGCAACGTCCTCACATCATCATCCATGTGCGTCAGGTCCATTCCCTCTAACTCACTGATGTCCGCTTGTCTCCGCTGCATCCTGGCTCTTCTCTTTCCTTCTCCGCTTTTATCTCTCTTAAGGCCTTTTGTAGTTGTGCCTCCTGCAGTGTTGCCTGCTGTATGGCGATCTCATCGGAAATCAACACTAATGGCTGGCTTCCCATGACCCCAGTGGACTGACTTAGGGTCTACGCGACCGTTGACCCTACGGTCCCTGAACTGCTAGCCTGGGAACTGTGCTGCGCAGCAGTTGCCATGGCTGCTGAAGCTGCGCCTTCGCTTGCAAATGCCCTGTTGGCCTCTGCTGCCCTAGCTCTYCGCTGCTGCTGCTGCCTCTCCTTTGCTGGCGGAACAGCAACCTATCACCCTCATGTCCTAATGCCACGTGGGCAATCACGCGTCTAGCCGATCGCAAGATCCGGTCGTCCTCACTAGTGGAATCCCTATCCCTCATAAGCTACAGAACTCTACACAATCTGCACTAAGACACTCTTTGATGCTTACTCCAGCGTAGTGCACAGACCGACTTATAATTAAACTAATTAATCGGTGGCTGCGTCAGAGAGTATATACATTTGGGTCCAACAGGTAAGTTCAGGTTCCTCATTAGTGGAATCCCTGTCGCTCATAAGCTACAAAACTGTACACAATCTGCACTAAGACACTCTTTGATGTTTACCGCGGCGTAGTGCACAGACCGACTTATAATTAAACTAATTAATCGGTGGCTGCGTCAGAGAGTATATACATTTGGGTCCAACAAGTAAGTTTAGGTTCCTACAAACGAAACTACTTCGACTTTGACTAGTTCGCAAACAGAAGCAAAATGAACAAAAAAAAAAACAGTTCTAAACTATGTTGTCTGCCAGCTGTTAATGCTTGTACATCTAACTAATCAAAATAAAAATAGAATCATTTGTTGGGTCTGTTTGCAGAGTGGAATCTTGCCCAAACTTGTCACCTGGTATCTACCCCTCCCTCAGTTCTTCCTGAATGTCTCTTGTCGTCAAAGTCCCTGTGCAATCCGGACAACGTGCGTGTCTAAAGGTGTGCACACGGCCCACACGATCACAACCAATGGAAGGTACCCCGTCGGTGCTTATTTATAGACGCCCGGTCTCGTCTCTCCCATAGGGCTGGCCTGCCCTTCAAAACCCCTCTACAGCGCAGCGAGCAGACAAAGGACAAAGCAACAAAGCATGCGTGCTCTATTCCCGGTGGGTTGGCATGGTGACCGTGACCCAGTGCTTAGTCCAGGGCCCTTCAGATAGCACCGCCCTCTCCTTCCAGATGCTCCACGTGAAGATTGACGACTCTCAAGGTTGAGCGAACACGACTCCTCACATGAGAGGACTCTCAAGACAGAACACACATCCTCACGGTAAGAAGTGTCGAAGAGGGTAGATAAGGTTAGATGCAATGTATCTCAAAACAGTTGCCCCCAACCAGCATTGGGGGCAGCTATTGTACCACCAGAAGTATTCTCACCACATGACCCGATGTTGATTGTGATGACCAATCGCTGCTTCGACACAACCAACATTGCACCACCATTCCACCTCAGCATCAATCGTACACCGGGTAGTTCTCATCACACTGCGAACACCCAATACTCACCACATAGCCTTCCTGTCGATGCCCTCTCCACCTAGGTCGCCTACTTATCTTCGCCCTCCTCACTACACACGTCCCACGGCATGGTCGCTCACCGCACACACCGCGTGTATGTACCGCATTAGGCAGAAGACAAGCGCCAAATTAGCGCACCGAACCACAACTCTGATACCAAATTGCAAGGAAGATGAGCAATAGCGAACTTCATAAATCAAACAGCATCATACACATGAGACCAGATAGTCGCGACCTCGAACCAATAGCTGAATTGCATCACGAGTTTCACCAAATAAGGGTACACCAAAAACTCATAATTGACAATGCCGGAATAGTCTCGTCAGCATCAACGAAGAACCAATGTTCACATCCTACCTGGCGCTCGGCGCCCAGACTACAGATGGCAGATCCTATCTAGCCTACTCCCCGAAGTACGAGCAGATCTCGGACAATGCCGTACGCTTCAAGCACCAGGTATATCTCTCGTATCACTCACAACCTCGTTCCCCAACTCACAGATGCCACATGCACCCAAGGACCACCATGCGCCCCATCCAGCATATAGCAGCGCAACTCGGCTATGGCTGCCTGCTCCTTCCAGCTCGGCCGTGAGCGCATGAGCCTCGCCAACGTTAGCGCAACAGCACTTGCGCAGCATGCAGCCAGTGCCCGAATGTCCAATGCGTAGGCAGACCCTTCTCTATATCGAAGTGGCCTGCTGCTGCGTGCGGTAGTGCGGTACTGGGCCTTGGCCCAGAAGCTTCCGGTAGGCCCCACGAGGCTGAGCCTCAGCTCGAAGTAAACAGGCCCAGGGCCTGTGGTGGTTACCAGCACCCAACTGCCCTCAGCCTTTGTTCRGTCCTCTTTGTGTATCCGGCCCAGTGCCTGCCTCAGTTACATGCGATGAAAGGCAGCCTGGCCTGGGCGCTTCCAACCAACTGCCGCTGCGCAACTGCTTGAATTTCCCCAGTTGCGTGGTGACCCCAAAATGGCCTGTAGGCCTCGGTCGTGCCTGCCTTCACTTAGGACCGTCGACTGTGTGAAAAATAGGCCCTGTAGGACATATCGAGGCCCTGTACCTTGCAATTTATTTATAATTCTTGTAATTCGAAAATACTTTGGAAGCAATTAATTATTCGACATTTCTTTGAAATTCGAAAATAATCTAGGAGGTTTTTCATGCACGGCCGATGTCGAATACCTTAACGGTGCAGACCAGAACAAAGAACCGACCTCCCTCACAAAGTACAAGATAGCGTAGCGGAAGACTTAGATACCAATGATCCGAACAATCAATGTTGCAATGCAGCCCCAAACATACCTCTCTCACAGGAAGAATGTGCCAATCCCCAGCCATACACAGACGAAGAAGAGGGGGGTTAGACGAAGAAGAGGGGAAGATGGGAATGTCGTCAACACCAAGTCTTCGGCACAGGCCCCAAATAATCCCTCGTCAAATGTCTGAATCCCAATGTCAGTCTGGACCCAATGTCGTCAAGTCCCAAAGTCACAACTCTCTCTCTCTCTCTCTCTCTCTCGTAGTCCGCAGATACAAGAAGTCAGGTAGTGAGATGGTGAAGAAGAGATGGTGGACTTAGAAGAGGAAGCAGAAGAACTCTCTCTCTCTCTCTCTCAGTCCGGTACTAACCTGTCAAGGTGGCGCCTTGTTGGAGTGTACATCGAAGACGAAGCTGGAGCTATGGCGCCACAGGTAAGTCTCCCTGGCCACCGCCAACCATCTCTCTCTCTCCCTCTCCAATGCTACTCTAGCTCCTACTAGCGCCCAACACTGAAGACTACTACTACTCTTGCAGCGCTCCTCCAGAGTGCTGCTGCCGAATCCTAAAGACTACCTCCTGCCTCCTGAACTGCACGTGAAGTGCCTGGCCAGTCCCTATGAACTACCTCCTGCCTTTAGGGTGGGCCAGTCTTAAACAGTGATGGCCCGTCCAGGAGGCTGCTCTTGCCAATGCCCAAACGTGCTAGACCCTGAGTAAGCTTCCGGGAGGCTGCTTTTGCCAATGCCAGAACGTGCTAGCCGCTGAGGAAGCTTCCGGGTAGTTTCCAGGTAGCTTCTGGCTAAAGACTGAGGGCCTATAGGCCCTTGTTTTCAGGTTGTCAAGCTGAACCGGCCCAGGGCCTGTAGGCCCTCGTTTTCAGGTTGTCAGTCTGACACGACACAGGGCCTGTAGGCCCTTGTTTTCAGGCTGTCGGGCTGAAACGACACAGGGCCTGTAGGCCCTTATTTTCAGGTTGTCACGCTGAACCGACACAGGGCCTGTAAGCCCTCGTTTTCAGGCTTTTAGGCTGAAAACGACACAGGGCCTGTAGGGCCTCGTTTTTAGGCTTTTAGGCTGAGAACGCTGGTCGGGCCCTGCAGGCCCGTGTGGCTGCGCAGTATGCCACACGACCCCCTCCTTGAAAGACCGAGCTTACCTGCGAGGGCGAAGCTGTCTGTCAGAGGGAGGAACCAAAGTCCGGGTGGGTGGGGCAGGTTTGCGAAGCCTCCTTAGCTGGTCTTCGTCGCTCGTAGTCAGCGTAGATCAGCGGTGCAGATGCTTGCAAATCTGCGAACTTGGTGTCCAAAATGTCGAAGGACACGGCCTCGCTTACATGTGGGGCAAGTACACGGGGACAGGGTCAATGCACCGGTCGATTGACTTGTGCGTGTGACTGTCAGCCAACGTGACTTGCATGGGCTGCGACTTCCTCCATATGCGTGGCCCCAAGCCATTGCGTACCAAAAAATTGTGGCCCATATAGTTGCGAGTGCTACCGCAATCGATCAAAGCGCTACAGGTCGCCTTTCCGATCTGAATGCGTATGTACAACAATGGCACGTCGATGTCGTCGTACCGTTGTGTCTTGAACTCGCGGTCGATCTTCGCAACGTAGTCGCGAAGGTTGACAACCTCTACTCCGTCGTCCATAAACGGAGCTGGTACTGCAGTGTGCAAGTAATTCCGCAATTGTGTCATGAGCACGTTGCGGTTTCGGCAATCGACCGGTCGGGGGAAGGGGAATCCATTGGAAGTCCGCGAACGTCAACGGGTCGAGCTCTTCAAGTCTTGACCATGACGTCGAATCCCCGACGATAGATGGTGGTGAAACTGCCGAATCGGTTGCCGATGGTGGTGAAACTGTGCATGTGGTGGATTGTTGCACGTGGAGTGGTTGGTCTAACGGTGGGACCAAGTGGACAGCGTAATCCTCTTAAGATTACCGAGGACTTGCGACATGCGCCTCCTCCCCAGATGTGTAGGAGGCCGCTAGCAAGGCGGCCAAATCTGGCGGAGTGAGAGGTGGAGTCGCCTCACCTCCCGCGCAGCTCACTTTCCCAAGCTATGGTATTGGCTGTCCATTTCCGACCGGTGATGCGGTGTTCACCTTCCCTTTTCCCGGGAGTTGTTGTTGCTTCGAGGCTGAACAACAGCCACCTGATCTCCCTCACATGATGCGTGGGTGGCTGCCGGATGTTCCACAATGGTGTCCAATTGGACTGCAGCGACATGCGGCGAACGCGGATCAAATTATCCCTTCTCCACATGGGCTGGCTGCCACACTGTCTTCTCATGTGCAGCCGCCCTGTTGGTCTTGATGATCTCCCTTGCCTTGTCGATGATGCCGGCGAAGGTTGTGTATTGCTCGCGATCACCAAGTGCGAGGCTCAAGGCGACGCATGACCGGTTGTAGAACTCCCGGCGCAGATGCGAAAATGGCAACTCAAGATCGGGCGTTGCAGCGATCTTTTGCCATTCCGTGAGCCAGTCGCGTGTCGATGTGTTGCCTTGGGTCATGCTGAAGAGTCGGTTGATGGCGAGCGTCAGGGCACGATGAACCGCTTCTTCCATAGCCTCGTCAACCTAAGAGATCTTCTCATGTAGATCGGCGACATGGACGCCGTGGATGGACGACAGGCGGCTGAGTCGGATCTGGCATCCGCCTTTTGAGTTCAGGAACAGCGTGCCGATGTACGAGTGCTCGGGGACAAAAAGAATCCGAAGTTCCGTCGTAAAGCCCTCCCACCAGGGGACCGGGTCTTGATGCGTATAATCATCGAACTTTTCGATGCGGAATGTTGGCATCTTGTAGTGCTGCGCACTGGTGTTGCCATCCTTGTTGGGCAGCTGGTGCAGTTGCTGAACCTCGGTCTTCAAGGTGTTCGGCTGCTTGCTGATGGTGGCTGGTGCAGCGACGGTGCTGATGTCGTCGAGCATTGCGACTACGTGGTCAACTCGTTCCTCCAATTGGCGGGTAGAGGGTGCATTGTTGGACTCGCAAGCATCTGGTCTTGGTGCCACTTGCTCCAAGTCCTGTACACGGGAATCAAGTGCCCGTGTAGCATCCTCGTGCAGATCCTTGTGGTTCTGCACCGCCCGTCGGAGATTCGACAGCTCGGACTGCAGGTGGTTACAAGTGTAAACCAACCGGGGCACGAGTTTGGCAAGGAACTCCTTGTGCTGCTCTTCCGGTGTCGCGTCTTCGTGGTGCTTGGATGCTTCAAAATGCCAGAACTTGAGGTTTTTGATGTTGGTGGCTTCATGCCGCTGTAGCAGATCCTGGGCCTCCTTGCGGCGTGCCTGGGTATCTTCGTCTGCTTCGGCCTGAAGCCGCTGTTTTTAAGCTGCTGCCGCCGCTTCAGCTTGTAGGCGGGCAGCTTCGGCTGCTGCCTGACGCTGTTCCGCAGCCTCGATCAGTGCGAGTTGAGCTTCGAAACGCTGTCGGTACTCGGCAATGGACTCATTGGCCAGTTGGCCTGGCATGCCCAGAACTGAGACCGTCATAGTGGCGGGGCACAGCTGACGTGGCTCTGTTGCTAACGTGGCACTGCTGACGTGGCACTGTACCAAACTGGGGATGCAGGCAAAGGGTTGGGTGGGAGGGAAAACGCAGGTAGGTAACCAACCAAGCTATACTTTCCTTCCGGTCCTAATCAACAGAATAAAATAAAATAAAAAAATAAAAGAAGAGGATCACCCCCCCTTTTTTTTTTTTTTTTTTT